AAATGTGTTCCAAATTGTAAAAACCTTGCAAGTATTTGTCTACGTGTTCTCCAGTCACATTTGTTTCAAGTTTTATTAGTTCTTGTTATTCCAGTATAGCTTATTGTCCTCCGGTTTGAATTTGTTTCCCTCAGAGATCGATTTTGATTGTCTCTAGTAAATAACTGAATAACCTGGCTAATTTTACATTTGTGGCACATGTATTTTACTGGGGTTTGTGTGTTCTCCGTTTGTAAGCTAACTTCATGAGTGATTTGGCTTGCTCCTTGGTCTTCACCTACATTCTTGCCTGTAAATCCTTCCCCTAACTCGATCAAATCCCTGCTTTAGTTTTTCAGACAGATGAAAAGAATTTCCAAGGCAGAATAGCATCTCAAGTGCTAAAATCTTTGACAACTGAATTCATTAAAGTTAACTGTATTGATTTTTTTCTACTTGATTACGCAGAGTTCACCAAAGCGATGAGTAGGAAACCTCATTTGAAAATCAGATTAACTGAGAAACTTCAAAACTGAGTCCAGCAGATCAAATTGGAGAGGTGGGCTTGATATCTGAAAAAAACCAACTCTGACGATGGCCTGGTATATTAATTTCTAAGTCATTTTAAAATTAGAGGTTAAATTCAACCATGTTTTCCCCTCTTTTTTGTCCATTTCCCCAAAAGAGATTTTGTAAACTTAACATTAAGCAAATTCATGTTTGCTAATATTGTACTAGAAGATCTCCAAGACATAGCCTGCACAATCAGATTTCTCTTTAAAATCTATCTGTCCTGTGGTGACTTTTTCCCCCAAGAATGTGTTTTGAGGCCACAGCAGTGAAAAGGCAGAGCCAACTGAATTAAATTAAATAAACTATGAAAGTTTCATGAGACTTTTTTGTATTCCCCCTCCTTGAAGTTATTGCCATAATATTGCTGCCTAACAACCCCAAAACTCAGTGGCATAAAATCGTAAGCATTTACTAAGTCCACATGTTTATGAACTGGCCAGGCCACTCTCATCTGGACCAGGCTCAGCTGATTTCAGGAGGCTCCTCGTGCCTCTGTTTAGCTGGGGGTGGGGGTGGGGGTGGCTAAGAAAGTACAACCAGGCCACTTGTCTCCTCCTCTGGCGAGCGAGGCCGCGCTTGTTTACATGACAGCTGAGTAAGCTTCCGACAGTGAGAGCAGGCCTTTTGAAGTGTACACTCAGCAGCGCAAACACTTCTGGCACATTCTCCCATCCTGAACAAACTACAAGGCCTCCCTCCCCAGATTCAAGAAGCTAGAATGAGCTTCAAAGTCATAATGCAAAGTTTGTGGCCACCAGCAGGGGTGAAGAATGACTGCTATTTGTGCAATCAACCTACCATTCCCACCTCACGTACAGTTTGAGTTGCACAGAGACTCAACACGTGTTTGAGAATCAGAATCAGAATGTGGCAACTAGACAGGATGACGCTGAACCTCAGTGCAGGGGCGATCAAGAAGAAGCCATAGTGATCTGTGGAGAACCATGTAAGTTCAGACTTGTGGGGAGGGAAAATTAGGAGCGTCCAAAGTGGAATGGACAGAGCCCTCTGGTCTGAGCCAGATTTAAATCTGCTAGGAAAGAGACGACCAACTACCCACCAGCCTCGTGGGGCTCACACCTATGATTTGAATGATTGCCAACAATAAAAAATCAGAAGCTCTTACATGAAGATACAGATTTCTGACATCTGTTGAAAAATAAGAATCTGACAAGTCTCAAATAGAACTGAGTTGTTGGCAGCCCCATTAAATGGGGCCTGTTCTCCACAGCTCCTGAGAGTCCCCACCACTTTCTAGCACAGAGCTTGCTCACTGTACGTCCATGACTTGCCTGGCCTCTGTAAACAGTTTTGTAATTCTTGGTCTAGAATAGCTTTAGACTACAGACGAACGGGGCTTAGTTGGAACGGAGCCAGACATTGCCCTGTATACTTCTCGTATTTCCCTACAATGATTAAGTACGTAAGTAGATAAGAAGAAAAAGAAAAATCTCTACCCTGAAATGTAATAATAAATACAATTTTGAAATTAATTCATTAATAAATGGATGGCTTTTTTCAAAGAGTGAAATATATGGCATTTACTATGTCAGGAGTCAGTGACTTAGTCTAGAAGGCAATAAAATCTACTACTATTTCATAATAAAAGGAAAAGTCCACTAAAGTGAAACTTAGCCACAATTGGGTCCACGATCATAAACGAGTTATTAAAGATTATTCTTAAAATTGAGTTACTAAAATTTAAGTTCTTATTAGAATTAAATACTTTAAAATGTCAAAAAGTGTTGGTTTAAGTATTTGGCATTTTCTCACATTTCACTTTTTCCTTTTCTTTTTTAATAATTAAAAGAAAGAAACAGCACACTTACCACGCTTCCGGGGCCTTGTCCACTGATGACATTTAACCTAAGAGAAGTTGTCTGCTAGTCTGGTACAGTAATATATCCACAGCTAAGGTCCTCCAGGCTCACAAATGAAAATAGCAACCTGCCGTTTTCTCAAGACAGAGTCATTTACTTTTCTCCCTTCCCCTACTTCCCTTGGAAATGAAACTTTAATCAAAGGTATTACTGAAATAAAATTGCGGTAAGTTGATGATGAAGTCTGAGTGATCCTCAGTGGAAGCTGTTGAACACCAGGCTAAGATTTTACTCATCTAGAGTATAACATTGTAAAAGCTCTGCTTCCTTCTAAATTATTGGTACAGCATAGAAAGAATTGACAGTTGTCCTCATCACTGTATCTTTTTGAGTATGGATTTAGGGGATGTAAGTGCAGATTGGTTACATAGGTATATTTTGCATAGTGGTGAAGTCTGGGCTTGTCACCATCTCCTGAGTGGGATACACTGTGCCCATTAGATAATTTCTCATCTGTCTCCTCCCTCCCACCCCACTAGACTTCCAAGTCTTCAATGTCTATTATTCCACACTCTGAGTTCATGCGTACACATTATTTAGCTGCCACTTAGAAGTGGTCCTCTTGTCTTTGACGTTCCAGTGATTTGCCTATGCTGGTGCTAAGTGTGGGGCTGGGTTCAAGGTGCTCCATAATAGCCCAGCAATTCTTATTAGAATTTGTATGCTAGCACAACAGACTCATAAACACCCCACATTTTATGTCTGTGGAGAAGAGTTCACTTTCTATATTCAGCCTAAATCATTTTTTTTTCTTTTGACTGGGGCCAGGTTTGAACCCTCCACCTCTGGTATATGGGGCCAGTGCCCTACTCCTTTGAGCCACAGGCGCTGCCCCATTTTTATCAGATGTATTTTGATATGGAAAAAAAAACATCATGTGCACAAGATCCACAATTTATTATCTGAAAGTCTTGGCACCCGGTGTTTTAAGGAATAACCTGCCTAATTGTAGAAAGGTGGTGTGAGGCATATACCATGAGCGGAATACTCCAGGGAGGCCTGAGTAAGTCTCATAATCAAATAAATTAATGTATCTGCAGTAAAGTGCAGGGACAGTCACATGAAGGGGGATAAATAGCATCAGTATCAGTGCATGTCAATGCGTTTGCCACACATTAAAAAGAAAATTCCACATTTTATAACTTTGGGGATTCTAAAGTTACGACTAAAGGATTACTTAATGGAAGTTAAATTACTATGTGCTGACAAAATGTGTCTGGTGTAGAAGCAGAAGTGAAAGAAGTTAAACCAATGGGGATGTTGCCAAGCTGCTGGCACCGTCCACAAGGAGGTCTCAGGATGCCCTGCACTCTGGCCTCACGCTGGAGGCCCTGAGGGTGTGGGCAAACCCCAGAAGCCGGGCTGAAAACTGCAGACGGAGGACCTAGACACAGCCAGCATCCAGACGAAAAGTAGAACAGGAGCTCAGAATAGAACCCAGGCCAGGGGCTCCCAGAGTGGCCAAAGAGAGAGGCTTCATTGGAATTTAGAATCACTCCAGCGCTGAGAAATGTGGGACCTCGGGGCTCCCCCACACCTCCTGAATTCAGATCAAGATTCCAGATGATTTGTATATACCTTAAAGTTTGTAAACTTAAGAAAAGTTGCCTCAAGTCCCGTAACCAAGGTAAGAAGCACTTAGTCTGGTGTGATGTTTCTAAAATTATGCCCCCTGCTTTGCCGTTCAAGAAGGGGAGAGAATTTTATTTAAGATTCCAGGTTTTCAGCTGGACTCAGCACAGCAGAACTTTTTGGCAGACAACTCTCCCTGCTGTTCCCACCCTCTCCCCACTTTTACCAGAGAAACCTGACTTTTACAACTATTTTATGACCCAGGCCTCCATGTAAGCCTTCATTTAAAGTAAGGTTTCCGTCATTTAAAAAAGGCTGAAAATTTCTCCAGGGCACAAAATAGGCACATTAAAAGACAGTTTTAAAGGTAGGTAAAATGGTTTACAAGGCAAATAAAAATTAGAATGAAAAGGAATCCAACAAAGAGGTGATAAAAAAAGTCAAAATAAAAGTTAGGGTTGGTTCCAAGAGCTTGTGAGCTAGTTTCCAGCGGCTTTTTAGATGCACCTAGACGGCCTTCCCAGGCTCCGGCTGAAGGTTTAGATCACGAAGTCCACTCCACATGGCCCTGTCTACTCCCATCAGCTGCTTCTCTCCCCAGCCTGATTCACGCCCAACCTTGGCACGCTCGGCTATCCATAGCTTTCAACCCCTAAATACAAAAACTTCAGATCATTGTCTTTGACTTTTATAAACATTTCCTAAAGACCCACCTGTGTGTGTTGTGCATGTTGTCTGTAAATATATTCATCTTATTCCAAGTCTTTAGCATTATTTTCTCACACATAACCTGAACTTGACTTTCAGCTATGGACAAATCATATTTCCAGCTAAACAGTTTTACATCTTCTCTACAGGTGACCACTGAATGACACTTTAATTCATTCCTTGTCCCCTCCTGTGTACATGTCTTTCAAAGAGTTTCTCTGCCTGTGGGGAGTGGGTAATAGAAACCTAAATGCCCTCAAATCATTCTCCTCTCTTGATGTCTCTCAGCTGCAGGTGGAGCTGGAGCAAGAATACCAAGACAAGTTCAAAAGACTGCCCCTGGAGATTTTGGAGTTTGTGCAGGAAGCCATGAAAGGGAAGATCAGTGAAGACAGCAATCACGGTTCTGCCCCTCCCTCCCTGTCCTCAGACCCTAGAAAAGTGAACCACAAGCCTCCCTCCAGCGAGGAGCTGGGCGGAGACATCCCGGGAAAAGAGTTTGATACTCCCCTGTGATTGTTCCTGCCAGGCCTTCAGAATATGCATGGCCACTCAGGCACCATCCAACTCCCTCTTATTACTAAGATCACTGCCCAGGACCATCTTCCTGAGAAGCATCCCTTAGCCTAAAATCACACCAAAGGGAGAGTTCCGGAAGAATCCATGCAGAAGTCCCATGCTCAGGCTCCATGGGCCATGTGGAAGCCACTGCTGGTCTCCTAGTGAAGAGTGCATGTATGTGAGATTTTTGTTCTTTTCCAATAATAAATTCAAAGCAAGCAACTTGCAGGCTCCATGGAACATTTAATGAAGGACAGTGTCTTCTTTGAAGAAAATTGAACTCGTGGTTTTATTTGAAGCTCTAGTGTAAAGTATTTCAAAGTAATAGAAATAGTTTGAGAAATGCATAGCATTATTTAACACTATGGAACAGCATTTTTTTTCCTGACTGCCCCGCAACTATGTGCATATTAAATTGTCTCATCCTTTGCTTTGCAAGCACTGGTGGCTTGCAGTTTGCTGATTTATTTATCATAGAGGCATCTGTGTATTTGTTGCTGACATAGTTTTATTAGATACCTTAGTGATTCAAATAAGCTGGTTTTCTTTTGGGAAAAAATAAATCACTTGATTGTCTCCTTGCCCAGTGAAGCCATCCCAAGACTTAGCCATATGGATAGTATATTTGGCTGCATGAGCAAGGTGGCTGCACACTTGAGGCCATGTGCTATCTGAATTGACTATTTGCACTCAAAGTCCGGGAATCCATTGGCTGTTGGCCTGAAATGATCAAATAACTACAAAGGGTCTGTTATGTTGAATAAAGATAGTTAAGCTGATATATGTTAAACAGAAATTCAATCAGAGTGAACAGGTTCCAATGGTTATTTTGCTGTCTGTCATTTTTTATGGTTCATTTATTTTTAATATAGAGAGGAAGATTGAATATTTATCTAGAGAATACAAAGACCCACATATAAATTATATATATTATCTCCCTGTATATATATACGTATATATATCTGTATGTATGCCCTTGGCTGTACAAGTGCATACACACAATACACAAGATTGTAGATGTGTGTTTATCAATTGGCAATGGCCCACATCTCTTCCACAGACTTCAAATCAAATTCAGGGATAAATAGGTAGAGAAGAAAAGGGTCAAACATCTAGATTATATGGGTAGTAAATTATATAGAAATACTAAGAGATAATTGATGGAGCCTTTAATGCAAGTCAAGATAGATTTAGAACTTAGATAATAAATTTGATTTATATTTTGCAAGATCAAAAATCGGATTTTAATGTCAGATTTTAAGCTTGTTTTAGCAGTCAGAATATTAAGACAGCAATATGGAAATTTATTGGTATCTTACATAATTTTTAAGTCTAGCAGATTTCAATTTTATTCTAACATTATAAAAACTTTCATTACACATTTGCTAAGCACACTTAGTTCACTTTGCTGTGTCTTTATCAGTTCTTATTTTAGGTGGCCTAAGAGAAACAAATTATATCATGGTAACACTGATCAAAAACATTATCAAAAGATCTTAACTAAGAAGGAATAATTCAGTAGAGGAAAATATAATTTAGAGAATAACACAGAGAGCATTGAAGTTAAATCCCACAGGCAAGATACTCACAGCTTTATTTTACTTTAGAATAAACCTGTCTGATTGTAGCTTAGCAAAATATTTTCAAATGCAAAAATCAGTTGTGTCCTGAATATTGTTTCAAGAATTTAATATTTTTATGGAAATTATTTTATTTAACTTTAAGCAATAACTAGGAATTACAATTAAATTTTAATCAAAATAAAGGCTTAGTTTAAACATTAGGAAAGAGTGTTTGATTAAAAAAAAATCACATCTAGGAAGACACAAGGGGAAAATCACATCCTCTTTGAGATGATTATATTTTGATCAGAAAGACTAGGGGTGTTAATTAGACACTTAATAAAACTTAACTTCCACTGAAAGAGACATCTTTTGTAAATTATTCTACTTTTGCACTTTGAAAGAAAGGCATTAATCATAAAGAAGCAAGACTGGTCAAAGTTGAATGCTGCATTTTTATAAACAAAATTACAGACTCTCTAAAAATTGCAGAAGAATGAACTAATAATAGCGTTCATAACCAAACACAATGGTGATCATTGCAGAACATTGTGTCGTGTTTTAGTCCAGAGATAGACTAAGGTCGAGTAACCTTAACTTACACAACACTGTTTTGGTAGTTGAATTTCATTATCTTAGTGACTCTAGTCATTTTACAATGTGTTTGTATTTGGCCATTTACTGTAATCACATTTTTATATCTGTACAATGACACTTTTTGCAGCTGTGGGGTAGTGTGTAAGTAACAGTGTCCATCTTGCATCATTGAAGCTACTACAGTGATAATATCATTTAATAATATTAATATGACTTGAACTAGACTAAGATAAAGAAAAGGGGTCTGTATGATGTGCAGTTTCGTGCCTTTATGTATTTGCCTTGTTCTTTGTTGAATGTGTGAGATTCTGTACTGTGGTTTTCCTATAATAGAGAGTAGAACCGTGTATTAAACTAGACTGTGTCCCTCTCAAACACTACTGAGAATAGCGTGGTTCTGGCCATGTCAACCAGTTTTCAAAGCTCTAATGCGGTTTTGGTTTTTAACATTTCAGTATCACCATGCATTAATTAATATTCCTGTAATAGATAAGCAGTTATATAATTCCGAAAGAAAGGGCCATTGCTTGCGTTCCTTTGAATTTAATGTTGCACTTGTGCACTGTATTAATATTGTTCGTGATGGAATGGACGTTGTGACTTTTGCCTTTTAAGAAGAAACAAAAAAGAGATAGGACAAAGTATTTGAAGCTCTTAAAATGTACATATTTTGGTTCTTCTATCTCAAATTATTTAAAATGCATAATTCACATTTTTGTAATAATTCTATGCAATTTTGTGGCATGATGTTTCTTCCACTTGTAATTTTATGTGCTTTCATCACAAATCCAAAGGAAACAATAAAAATTTCTTAACACAACCCGGCTGTTACTTCTTGGTGTCAGAGCCAAACTTCTTTGGACAGGGAGGATGGTTAGGGCAGGCACAATGCCAGGCTTTAGGTCCATCATGCCCACCCTGCCAGAGCACTTTTGTGCCTATGTAGTAAATTGGGATGCTGCCAGGCATGTGCCAAAGGACACAGTTGTCATTGCTGTCCGCCCCCCACCCTCCATCCAGGAGTGACATTGAACTTGACATGGCTTCTGTAAGGGAGATCCTCCCTTCCTTTCTCCTGACCTTCTTTTCTCTCTTTCTTCCTTGACCAAAGATAAGGAAAGCAAAACAAATGACAAGAACTGACAGAACATAGCATGTAAATTTTCTTATAAAGCAGATGGTGGCCTTCAGGACAGTTAATCCACCAAACACCCCGTGCTTTCTTCCACATACAAAGCCCATGTCAACCTCAACATTACAGCCCCCTTATCGCAATATATCCTCCGCCTCGACCAACACCTATGATGTCAGACGTCACGTCTCATTATGGTTGAATCCCCATACTCACCCTAATGTAACCACTTGATAAAATTTGCATTTACAGCAAACAAATTTATTTGTTCATATAGCTATTAATGCTAACAGAGATTAAAAATAAACACCTGATGTCAAAATAATAAATGTCATGACCTCAAAGCTACAGTGCAGCTCAGGTATTTCCTGAGTCAACAACGCTAACAGGAAGGCTGGACCACTCAGGAGGCCACTGTTCCCTTTTGACTTTTGGTACCAAACACAAAACAGCTAGTGACTGATGAAAGGAGGTTTCTCAAAAAATATTAGATTCTGGGAAAGTGGAGTTCACCTTGAATCCTAGGTGTGTCAACCAGCCTTTTTTGCCTGCAAGAGGAAACTCAAGAACCCTCCTTGCCCCTGGCATTCATGTGCCATCCAGATGTTTCTAGGATATTTATTTTTCATAATAACAATGTTATTGATCTGTAATTTGTGTAATATAAAGAATAGTGTTGTAAAGCACACACTTCAGTGGGTTTTAGTATAATTGGAGTTACGCATCAATCATCACTCTCTAATTCTAGAATGTTTTCACCACCCCAAAAAGAAATCACATACCCATTAGCAGACACATGCTCTTCCCAGCCTCTGTGAACCACTAATCAGTTTTCTGTCTCTGTGGCATTATCTATTCTGGACATTTCATACAACTTAATTTTACAATGCATGGCCTTTGCATTCAGCTTCTTTCACTTAGCATAAAGTTTTCAAGGTTCGTCTGTGTTTTTGCATGTATCTGGACATAATTCTTTTTAATAATTGAAGAATATTCCATTGGACAGACATACTAATCATTCATTCAGTTTTAATGGGCATTTGAGTGGCTTGCACTTTCTGGTTCCTATGAATAATGCTTGCTATGAACATTTTGTACGTAAGTTTTTGTGTGGGAAGATGTTTTCGGTTCTCTTGGGCTTATACCTCGGAGTGAAATTTTAGGTCTTACGGTAACTCTACACTTAACTTTTGGGGAACTTCCAAACTTGACACCAAAGTGCCGCTACCACTTTAAATTCCCAGCAATGCATGAAGCTGTCAGTCTCTCCACATTCTTGCTCATGCTTGTCATCTTCTGTCTTTTTGTTTATTGATATCCTATTGGGTGTGAAGCAGTATCTCATGGTAGTTTTGATTTGCATTTTCCTAGTGACTAATGATACAGTGTACCTTGACCAAATGTATATCTTCTTTGGAGCAGGTTCTATTCCGATTCCTGGCCCACTTTGATTGGCTGTTTGTTTATTCTAAGGCCCGGGTCTCCTTTATTGATTTTTGCCTCTGCTGCATTTTGTGCCTATCCATCCCCAAACCCTGCCTTAGGAAGTTTCTCTCAATTATCATTTTTCCTGAGGCTACTGAATAGCTGCGGTTTGCTTAGGCAACATCCCAGTTATTTTCAATGTGAATCTAGAAAGTCATTTGTCTGCTTATTTTTTTTATGAAATGTCAAATATGTGTTTCTTTCCCCAGATTTCTCTCTTCTTCCCCAAAACAGGTCTGATAAATGTGAGTAGCATTCACCAGGAACTACTAAATTTCCTACAGTTGAAAATGTATTAAGGACACATGAAAATTTGAATATTGTAATTGTGGAAATATTTGCCACAGAGCCTTTAAAGGTTGAAGTGAATTATATAACATGTTATCTAACTTATGTTTCAAGAGTTTCTTCTTTTTTTTTTTTTTGAAGAAGGCTCCTGCTTTATCACCAGGGCCAGAGTTCAATGGAAGCAATCATAGCTCACTGCAGCCTCGAACTCCAGGGCTCAAGCAATCCTCCCTACTCAGCCTCCCAAATAGCTGGAACTATAGGCATGCTCCATCATATCTGGCTAATTATTTGAATAGAGATGGGGTTTCACTACGTTGACCAGTGTGGCCTTAAACTCCTGGCCTCAAAGCAGCCTTTGACCTTGGACTTTCACTATGCTGGAATTATAGATGTGAGCCACCATGTGTGACCAAGAAATTGAATATGTTGATATGATGTACCAATAACCATGAAAAGAAAATCTTTCCAATTAAACTATGACTCTACATCAACCATATAGGTAGCCAATTAAATTTCAGAAAACTTAAAAGCAATGAAAATGTATTAAGGACACATGAAAATTTGAATATTGTAATTGTGGAAATATTTGCCACAGAATCTTTAAAGGTTGAAGTGAATTATATAGCAGTTATAACAGTTTCAGTTTCTGAAACTTTTTTTCTTGTATTCTTTCCAAGAATTACTTGTTCTCTAGGAATCTAAGATTATACATTAATTTATTTAAAGCCAACAGAAAGCCCAATCTTCAAGCAGCATTGTATTCAAAGTAAAACTAGTCCAAAACCAGAAAAATAGTTGAAAAGCAGAAATAAATTTATACCAAAATGTCTATATAAAATGTCAATCTAGAATTGATTCATAATGTACTACAAAGTCTCTTTTTAAAAAAAATTTCAGATTAATATGAGGGTCCAAACAGGTTATAATGTTTGCATTTTTTAGGTAAAGTCCCTGCTGTAGTTGTGTCCCGCACTAAGGAGGGGTGCCATGTACCCTTACATTGTGCCCATTGGGTGGGAGCACACCATTCTCCCTCCCTCTGCCTCTCTCCCCCTTCTCTCCTCCCACCTACTTGAATTGAATTGAGTTTTTCTCTTGTGTGGGTGTGTATTGGATACAGCGATTAAAGTAACAGACAACCTTCAGAATGGAAAAAGATATTTGCATATTATAAATCTGACAAAGGGTTGATAACTAGAATCTACA